ATTAACGGTGGAATACCTTTAATCGATGTGAATAGGGTTTTAGCTGAGATTTCATACGTGCAAATCATCTGACAGAGGCTATAGTTGCTCAAAAAGTGTAGGCATCTAGCATATTTTTGTTTTAGTAGACAAACTCTTAATACTATATGAAATTTACTTTACGATGCTTACTATACATCTATAACTGTAAACATTGCAAAAGAAGTTCTGTGATGCCTTTTATGGATTTCAATGCTCACTAGTAACAAATTTGATTGCTGTAAAATGTGCTTAATTAGTTATCAACCATGCCGAGCTATGAATTATAGTCGTACTCTTCAAATGGTTAGATTATATCAATTTGTGTCTCAAAGCGTCTTTTATATGTTTAAGTTTGGTAGATTACTACACCTAGATTTTATCACATATTTAATTATTTTGCTGGAATTACAGAAAGCTGGAAAGACAGAGAGCTTGGAAACCCCAAAAGGGTAAGATCATTATTCTATTAATTAAAGTAGTAAAAAGACAAACTTCAAGTCTTGTTCTTGTGAAGTGGATAAATAAATTGTTTGCCAAATTATAGGGTGGAGCCACCAAAAGAGCTTATGCAAGCTAAAAGACACTTTACTGAAGCACTTGTTGATGGCCGTGTGCTGTTCAAGCTTGGAGACGATGGTTATGTCCAGGTACCTATTTCTCTACTACTAAGTTGTTTTCAAGAGTGACATATACTGTTTGATTTCTCACTTAAAAAGTTAAAAGTGATAAATCCATGTTTTTTTCCACATTTAATTAACTAAAGTTTATCTAAGTATGATTATTTGCTTTTTTAAACAGGCTGGCGAGGGTGAAGACAGTTACATCTGTAGAGTTGTAGAGATGTTTGAAGGAGTGGATGGAACATCATATTTTAGTGCTCAATGGTTCTACAGGGCTAAAGATACAGTAAGCTTCACTAAACTATGCCTCTTGACTTAATTATTTGATAGTTTAATGTCTTTTCCCCCTAACATTGACTTTTCTTTTTTACCTTTTTCAGATTATTCAAGCTTGTTCAAACCTTATTGATGATAAGCGTGTCTTCCTTTCTGAAATCAGGGATGACAATCCTCTTGATTGCCTCTTGCAAAAGCTTAAAATAGTCCGGGTGCCTTTAGATGTAAGAAATGACAGCATATTTTCATTTTTTATCATTGTAGCATTGCAATTTTCAGTTTTTTTATTATAACATTATATTTAGAAAAACATACCCAATTTTAATAGTAAAAGTTTCTTTCTATATGGATGATGTTGCTATAGTATTGGTTCTATTAAGAAAAAAAATGTTAGATTTCATAAGAAACAATGTAATAAAAGTAGTTAGTTCTTGCATTTAGTTATTATATTTTATCTTATGTGTAATTTTGGTTGTTTTTTAGGCTGATGTCAGTGAAAAGCAAGCAAAACTTGGTGATGGAGACTACTACTATGACATGTCATACTTGGTGCCTTATTCAACTTATCAGAATTTGCCACCTGGTACATTTTCTTATATCAAACTGAATGATGTATATATTTTATCATTTAAACTATAATTCTAGCAAGTGATTAATCTTTGAATACACTTTAACAACAAACTGCAGATGCTGAAGCAGATGGAAATGAGTCTGATTCAACCATTTCATCTGAGTCTGATGTTAATGGAGCTGTTAATGAAGAATCCCAAAGTCAAAACAACAAAAGATCAGAGATGAGAATGCTAGATCTTTACTCAGGATGTGGGGCTATGTCTACAGGACTTTGTTTGGGTGCTAATATGGCTGATGTTAACCTTGTCACTGTATGTTTTAACAAAATGGTTCAACTTCAAGTGCTTACCTTTTAGCTTCATGATACATAACTCTTGATTTTATTTTAAATTGTAAATGCAGAGGTGGGCTGTTGATTTGAATCAATATGCATGTCAAAGCTTGAAGCTGAACCATCCAGAGACAGAGGTGAGGAATGAATCAGCAGAAGATTTTCTGCAATTGCTGAAAGAGTGGGAGAAGCTTTGCCAGTCTTATTCCTTAGTTGGAGGTGGTGAATCTCAACAGAAAGAAGAACCTGCAGTCATTGAAGAAGATGATGAAGAAGAAGAAGATGATGTTGATGTAGATAATGTGGAAATTTTTGAGGTCGAGCAGATTTTGTCTATATGCTATGGTGATCCAAAGGAGTTAAAGAAGCCTGGGGTTTACCTTAAGGTATCTTAGCTATTCCCTTATACAAACATTATCATTTCCAGAAACAGATGAGCCAAGGGTATTTTGGTAATTTCAGTTTTTGATATAATATTAATTTTTTGACTAGATCCGGTGGAAGGGTTATGGGCCTGAAGAAGACACCTGGGAGCCGATAGAGGGCTTAAGGTATGGAATTATAGTTGATTTTTTCCCCCTTCACTTAATGTTATCATTCCATAATTTTACTTACGTTTGATTTATTTGAATCAGTGATTGTCATGACAAGATAAAGGAGTTTGTTGTTGATGGTTTCAAATCAAAGCTTTTGCCTTTGCCTGTAAGTTCACATTACATGCTTCTTTTTTCTGAAAATTACACTTTTCCATTTGACATATTATTGAATTAAGGTAATTGAATAACAAATTCATCAACTTTTGTAGGGGGATGTTGACGTCATCACAGGTGGCCCTCCATGTCAAGGGATAAGTGGATTCAACCGTTTTAGGAACAAAGACAAACCTCTAGAAGACGAAAAAAACAAACAACTTGTTGTCTACATGGACATCGTAGAGTATCTAAAGCCAAGATTTGCATTAATGGAAAACGTGGTGGATATCGTCAAGTTCGCTAAAGGGTTTCTGGGCCGATATGCTTTGGGCCGGCTCGTGTCCATGAACTATCAAGCCCGGGTCGGTTTAATGGTTGCCGGTTCTTACGGACTTCCACAGTTCCGCAGACGTATGTTCATGTGGGGTGCCCGGCCTAGTGAGGTAAATAAACCCTAAATCCTATCCTTATTCTTAAACCGGTCTAACTGTCTGAGTGATAAATAAAAAACAATTTGTTTTTGATTTTGCAGAAATTACCGCAGTACCCTTTACCCACTCATAACGTTGTCACAAGGGGAGTGTCTCCATTGGAATTTGAGGTATTGTTTCTCGTACCATAAAAGGAATTTCAAATTTCAAATTAAATTAAATAAGAAATAAGTAAAAGTTAACCCTTTTTTGAGCTATTTTACTTTTGATGGGCGCAGTCGAATACTGTTGTTCATGACGAGGGTCTTAAAGTTGAATTAGAGAAAGAACTCTACCTGGGTGACGCCATTTCTGATCTTCCTCCTGTAAGTATAACATCCAATCTTATTCCCATCTTTATTTATTTATTTATTTTAAGGATGAGAATCAACGTATTAAATTTAAATTTGTTAGGTACCAAATGACGAGACAAGAGACGAAATGCCCTACGGGGGAAAACCCAAAACGGAATTCCAAAAGTTCATTAGTCTCAAAAAGACCGGTGAGTCAAACTTACTTTTCACTCTAGTTGCTTCATATTTGTTTTAGATTTTTAGTTTAATTTCTCCATTTCTTATTTTTTTGATGTTTATTAAAAACTGTAATCTAGATATGCCTGGGTTTGTAGCATCTGGTAAAGAAGCTTCAGATCATCTTTTATATGATCATCGTCCACTGAAGCTAAATGACGATGATTACCAACGTGTCTGCCAAATCCCTAAGAAAAAGGTCTGCCTTACATTCTCATTCTTATTCTACTCTTGTTTTTTTTATATGACGTGGCAATGACATTGTAATTTTTAATTTTTTAATTTGTGTTTGAAGGGTGCAAATTTCCGGGATTTGAAAGGTGTTAGGGTTAAAGCTGATAATCATGTTGAATGGGATCCTGATGTCGAAAGAGTCTACTTACCTTCTGGAAAGCCATTGGTAGGTGTCTTCATTCTCATATACATGCTCTTTTTTGTTCACTAGTAATTTTTTTTTTTTTTTTTTGTGTAATGACAGGTTCCCGATTACGCTATGACTTTTGTCGATGGTCGATCACAAAAGTAAGTGTTGTACATGCTTAGTTTTTTATTTATTTATATGAATTTATTTATAATTTCATGAAAATACATACAGACCCTTTGGGCGACTATGGTGGGATGAAACTGTACCAACAGTTGTCACAAGAGCAGAGCCTCACAACCAGGTAAAAAAACTATACAAACTAAAAACCATCTTCATATTCAAAACAATGTAAGTTGAGGGACTAAATATGTCATTTACGTATAGCTGACTTGGATATGTTTTTTCCAGGCAATCCTTCACCCTCTTCAAGATAGAGTGCTGACTATTCGTGAGAATGCTAGACTTCAAGGTTTCCCTGATTACTATAAGCTTCTGGGCCCCATCAAAGAAAGGTAAGAAATAAACTCTGTTTTAATTGTAAATTGTAAAAAAAAATGTAGATTGCTGTTTTCTGATAAACTTGTATATTTAACAGGTACATTCAAGTTGGAAATGCGGTAGCTGTTCCAGTAGCAAGAGCTTTAGGGTACTCACTGGCAATGTCATGTAAGGGAAACGCAGGTGGGGAGCCTGTTTTCAGTTTGCCTCCAAAATTCCCAAACCTACAACCGGTGACATCTCCTTCTGTGGTTCAAGAAAATGAGTAATTATTTTAAAGCAGTTAATAATTAGTAATGGAGAAAGAGACCTTTTTTTCATCATTTATGCGCTTAAGCCACAAATTGGCTGTGGAATTACCTATCTTCATCATGTAGTAGCCTATTAATTATTCGCAGTTTTGAGGTTCAAACATTGCCTTCTTCCTGTTGTAACTTTGCAATGATGCATATGATACTGATAATGCCACAACTTTTATTGTCTTTCAATGTATTTTATCGATGCTACTTGTATCTTTTCTGAATTCTGATTTTACTTTATCAACTTAAAACAAAACAATATACATTCACTTAATACAAAGGAAATATATACATATATAAACATCAACAGAAATTTCAATCGAATCTTAGAATTCTACTTTGGAATGGCATTTGGGATCAACTTCTAGCTTCAAAATGTCGACAGAGATATCACACAAATTATCAACTTTAGCTTTAACCCCAACTATCTTTAAAAGAGTTACCTTTCCATGCATTGTTGAAGTCGAGGTAAAATTAAGCCAACCAGAACCTATATCACTGTAAAAATTAGGATCTGTCGCCAATTTACCCCCTGTAATATTTGCAGAGGTAGTCAAGGTAAAACTACCACGAGCTGGAACTTGTGCATGCTCAACGGGGACCTCAGCTATTAACATTCCTCGGTAATAAACATTTGCAATGGAGTCCTTGAACTTAAACCCTCCATAATTACGGTTATCAATCGTTAATGTTAAAACTAGGGTTGCATTTATGCTTACATTTGGTATGAGTTGGAATTGCACGTTTTCAAGTTTTGTCGGGTGGGCAGTGATTCGTGGGTCTTTCGGTTTTAAGACTGTGAAATACAAGATGGTAGAAACAATGATGAAAATGACGATTAGTGCAACCGTTAAGCCGCAACATATTTTGAGACATTTTCTCGATCTTTGTTTTGGTGTGTCCATTTTCTTTGTTTGAGTTGAGGTTTTTTTTTGAGGAATGAAAATGAATGGGTTTTGTGTTTGTGGATTGTTTCATTTGTAAGGTGTTGGATTATATATGGGAGGAGGTGAAATTAGGGCTGAATGTTGTTTTGTTTGTTTTGTGTGTAGATGGTAGTGATTTTGAGGTTGTATACTACGTACCTTCGAGTCTCTTCGGTTGAAGATGTTTTTGTTTTTGAAGTTTTGTATGCATATGGTGGTCATTTTCATAAAATTATATAATTATGGAGGTCATTTTCGTTAAGGATGTTGTTATGGTTGTCACTGTCATAAAACATGTAATTATGGGACAAAATAGTAACATGATTACATGATGGCAAATTTCAAGATAGAAATATAAATACATAATCAATATGATATGGGGTATGTTGAAGTTTAAATATGTCTTAGTTTCTTTCTATCTAAAGAGCTCCAACAAGATTTAATCCACTAAGCTATATATATATATATATATATATATATATATATATATATATATATATATATATATATATATATATATATATATTTTGATTCCTTTTTACGTTGATGCTTATGATGCATAATTTAGTGGAGAAAGTCGGAAAACAAAGATTCTTCTTTATGTGGTCTTTGATTATATAAATAAAAGAAAAAACAGATAGAATATATAATCACAAAAATTGTTGGTGATTTTATATTATCAATATTATTTAAGTGTAATAGGATTAAATTTGTTGACCAAAAGTGATCTTGTTGAATATTGAAAAAGTTAGGATGGTGTAGTAGTGTACACTTGTTCAAGTTTTTCAAGATTCAAAGTACTTTGTTATTTAGGGGCGAAGCCCCTAAACGAACGGGGGTCCGGGGGCAGCGCCCCTGGGAGCGGGGTCCCAGGGGCGGCAGCCCCTGACGGGGTCCAAGGGGCAGAGCCCCTGGCTGGGATCGAGCTGTCTATTGACAATTTTCAGAGCTTTCAAAAATCCAATTTTAGAAAGTTGACCCTTTTTCCCTGAGATCCGTTTAATGACAGGTTTGGTAGTTTTATGACAGTTTGTAACTGTCTATTGACAGTTTTCAGACAGGAATGATATATCCGTTTTTGGTCATTTTTCTGGTACATCTTGAAGACCATTTTTCACATACATTCTCAGATTTCATTATTTGAATTTCATCCAATTGAGTGTTCGATCTGTACCATCGAAATACTTCAATTTGATAGTGAATCACGACTTTCAGAGAATCCAAGCAATCTATTCATCCCTTATTTTCTAACAAAAATTGAAGTTTTCTGTAATCATGGCAAGTGGTGATTCTGTGAAGGATATGACAAGCAAGTTTAACAAATTGAACAAGTTTGAAGGGCAAGATTTTCGTAGATGGCAGAAGAAGATGCACTTTCTCCTTACCACTCTGAAAGTGGTGTATGTTCTGAGTACACCCATGCCAGTCTTACCAGAATTTGTTGAAGATGAACCTTTGGAGGCAACAAGAAGGAGATCAAAGTGGGAAAATGATGATTACATATGTCGTGGTCATATTCTCAATGGTATGTCTGACTCTCTTTTTGATATCTATCAAAATTTCGAATCTGCAAAAGAACTTTGGGATTCTCTTGAATCCAAATACATGGCTGAAGATGCTTCTAGCAAGAAGTTTCTTGTCAGTAACTTTATGGGTTACAAGATGATTGACTCCAGGCCTGTTATGGAACAATTCCATGAAATGTTAAGGATCCTAGGACAGTTTGCTCAACACAATCTGAAAATGGATGAAGCCATTTCTGTGGCTGTGATAATTGACAAACTGCCCCTTTCCCGGAAAGATTTTAAACATAATCTGAAACATAACAAGGAGGAATTAACTTTGACTCAACTTGGAAGTCATTTACGGATTGAAGAGTCCTTAAGGACTCAAGAACTTGATAACAATCCTAAAGGCAAGAACCAAGTTGGTTCCTCTTCTGTGAACATGGTGGAAGGAGAAAGTTTAAAGAATCCCAAGAAGTCTAATGGAAAAAGGAAGTTTGAAGGAAAGGATGACAAGTCTTCCAACAAGAAGGCTAAGTTGGTTTGTTGGAATTGTAACAAAAACCGGGTCACTTCAAGAAAGATTGTCGTCTTCGCAAAGTGAACAAGGATGGTGCTGGACCAAGTGGATCCAAGGATCCAGAAAAGCAACAAGGTCATATTTCTGTTTCCATGCAGAATTCTAAATATATTCAGAATTATATTTCTGTTATTTCTGAAGCATTTTATGTACAGGATGATGATGTTGCATGGTGGGTTGATTCAGGAGCAACAAGCCATATATGTAAAGATCTTCGTTGGTTCAAGGAATGTCAACCAATTGAAGATGGATTTGTGGTGAAAATGGGAAATGTTGCAACTGAACCAATCAAGGGTTTAGGATCTGTTCTTTACTTCTGGAAAGTGTTTGTGTCTGAACAATGTTTTATATGTACCGGGGATTCGAAAGAATCTTGTGTCTGAAATTGTTTTAAATAATTGTGGTTACAAACAAGTATTAGAAAGTGACAAGTATATCTTGTCAAGACATGGTTTTTTTATGGGTTTCGGATATGTATGTAATGGAATGATTAGGCTTAATATTAATTATCCTAGTTATGATAATTCTGTTTGCATGGCTTCTTCTAGTACTAGTAATAACTTTAATAAATCTGATTTATGGCATGCTAGACTAGGACACATTCATTACAAGAGATTAAAAGACATGTCAAAAATGAGTTTAATTCCTGCTTTTGATATAAACAATGGTAAATGTAAAACATGCATGTTAACCAAAATCACAAGACAACCTTTCAAAGATGTTGTTAGCGAAAGCAAGGTGTTGGAACTTATACATAGTGATTTGTGTGATTTCCATGCAACACCTTCCCTTGGAAACAAAAAGTATGTTGTTACTTTTATTGATGATGCATCTAGATATTGTTATGTATATTTGCTACATTCTAAGGATGAAGCACTTGATAAATATAAAATTTATAAACAACAAGTTGAGCTTCATAAAAATGAATTAATAAAAGTCTTGCGTACTAATAGAGGTGGTGAATATTATGATCCAGTTTATTTTGAATCATCGGGGAATAATACATCAAACCACAACTCCCTATACACCATAACAAAATGGTGTAGCTGAAAGGAAGAATAGGACTTTAAAAGAAATGGTTAATTCCATGTTGTCCTATTCTGGATTAAGTGAAGGGTTTTGGGGTGAGGCAATGTTAACTGCATGTTACATTTTGAATAGAACTCCAAATAAAAGGAGTAAGAATACTCCTTATGAACTTTGGTGTAAAAAGGTACCAAATTTGAGTTATCTCAAAGTTTGGGGCTGTAGAGCAGTTGTAAGGCTCACTGAACCCAAAAGGAAAACATTGGGTGAGAGAGGTGTAGATTGTATCTTTATTGGATATGCTGAGCATTCCAAATCATATAGATTCTATGTTATAGAATCTAATGACTCCGTGTCTGTAAACACTGTGATAGAGTCAAGAGATGCTATTTTTGATGAAGAAAGTTTTACTTCTATACCTAGACCAAGGGACACGATTCATCAATCTTCTAGCAAGAGTACCAATCAACCTGAAGATGTTTCTGGTGGTGCAAGTTCTGTACCTGAACCTAGGAAAAGCACAAGAGCTAGAAAAGCTAAGTCTTTTGGATCTGATTTTCAACTATATTTAGTTGAAAGAACAAGAAATGAGACTGTGTCTCAACATCAATATTGTTTTAATATTGAGGAGGATTCAAAAACTTTCAATGAAGCTATGGCTTCTAGGGATGTTCATTTCTGGAAAGAGGCAATTCAGGATGAGATTGATTCTATCATGCATAACAATACTTAGGTATTGTCTGATTTACCTCCTGGTTGCAAGGCATTAGGATGTAAATGGATCCTCAAAAGAAAAATGAAGGTGGATGGCACAATTGATAAGTATAAAGCCAGATTGGTTATCCAAGGCTTTAGACAAAAGGAAGGAATTGATTTCTTTGATACTTATGCTCATGTTGCAAGAATTTCTACTATTAGATTATTATTAGCTCTTGCAGCTATACATAATCTTGTGATTCACCAAATGGATGTGAAAACTGCATTCTTGAATGGTGACTTGGATGAGGAAATATACATGAAACAACCTGAAGGGTTTGTGATGCCTGGAAATGAACACAAAGTGTGCAAATTAAAGAAATCATTATATGGTTTGAAACAAGCACCAAAACAATGGCATCAAAAGTTTAATGATGTTGTCTTGTCTAATGGTTTTGCATTAAACCAAGCTGACAAGTGTGTATATAGCAAATTTGATACTTCTGGTAAAGGAGTCATGATTTGTTTATATGTGGATGATATGTTAATTTTTGGTACTGATTTAGAAGAAGTTAATAAAACCAAGAAATTCTTATCATCCAGTTTTGAAATGAAAGACCTGGGGGAGGTTGAGGTAATTCTTGGTATAAGAATTAAACAAGGAAACAATGGGATTTCAATTTCTCAATCTCATTACATTGAGAAGATATTGAAAAAGTTTAACTTTGAGAACTATTCTCCTGTTAGCACTCCTATAGATCCTAGTCTCAAGCTTTTACCAAATAAAGGATCTCCAGTGTCTCAACTTGAATATTCTAGGGCTATTGGTTGTCTAGTGTATGCCATGGTTAGTACTAGGCCTGATATAGCATATGCTGTGGGAAGGCTTAGTAGATATACTAGTAATCCTAGTTCACATCATTGGCAAGCTGTGAGTAGAGTATTCAAGTACTTGAAAGGGACCATGAATTATGGTTTAACTTATAGTGGATATCCTTCTGTTTTGGAAGGTTATTCAGATGCCAACTGGATTAACAACTTAGAGGATCACTCCTCTACAAGTGGTTGGGTGTTTCTTTTTGGAGGAGGTGCCATTTCTTGGGCATCTAAGAAACAAACTTGTATTACTAACTCAACCATGGAGTCTGAGTTTGTTGCATTGTCTGCTGCTG